ATAATGTAAACCGAGTCAGGTGAATTATGTGTTTCTGTCCTATAACAAGCCATCACTATATGATACATGTTTGTATATGACGTACATAAATGTTTGCAGGTGGCACTTGGTTGAAGAGCTTGAGGATCCCAGCGGCTCCTCAGACTGGGAAAACAACTCCAGATGTCCAAAGCAGGAAAAGCGCACAATAGAGTCTATAGGGAAACAGTGAACAAGCACGAGGGGGGAAAATCAAGAAAAGAGGATGAGAATAGGGGAAAAGGGCTCTGAATGAACAGTCATCTCCTTTATATAGCTGAATTCAAATGACACCTCAAAATTCCTGGAAGTTCCTGACTGTCTGAAAAGATTTTATTTGGAGACCGCATTGAGAGAGAGACCTCATGCCATCCGAAAAAATACCCGCTTGGGAATACCGATGGGAATTGACAGAACTGGAGGGGATCTGAAGTGCCAAGGGCATGGAAAAAAAGAAGAAGAAAGAGCTGGAAAAAAAGTGTGACTCAAGTCAAGGGAACAAAACGACAGGAAAAGTGGAGCGATAAAGGAAAGCTTGTGTGTGAGGAGGGGCTATTTTAAGAGATGGCTTTCCGGCAGGTGAGAGAACTGAAAAAACCTTTCGGGAACAAACAGTTCCCCTTTGAGACGTAATAAGGAGGTGAGTCATAAGTAGAAAGAAGGTACTAGAGTGTTAGAGAAAAGAAACACATAAAATGCACATAATCAACTACAGTAAATGTTACCTCTACCAGCTTAAACAGAGATGCAGAGTTGTCTATTAAGCAGGAAGGTAAACTACAACTATATACACTCTAAAAAATGCTGGGTTAAATACAACCCAGTGCTGGGTAAAATAGGGACAAACCCAGCAATTGGGTTGTTTTGACCCAGCGGTTGGGTTACTACCCAGAAGGTTGGGTTAAACATTTAACCCAACCGCTGGGTCAAAACAGCCCAATTCCTGGGTTTGTCCCTATTTTACCCAGCACTGGGTTGTATTTAACCAAGCATTTTTTAGTGTATAGTCAGCATTATGATTTCTTTTGAGACATCTAAAAATTATTTCTTATTATATGTGATCTCTTGTCATTTTATTATATGTATGGTTATTTTACAGTGCATGAAAAATTAAAAGTGCGTGCACTCTGTGTGTGATTTGGTGATATAGCCTACTTGATAATGTCAGATCGCACATCATTACAACAACACTTACCATATTATCGCAGATGATGCTGTGTATCGCACACCCCAGACTCGAAGTGCGCGCACTTGTTTGGTTTACACATGAGCAAAGGTGTTTTAGGAGTCTAACTTGCAAACGCCAGACCACTGATTCGTCAAATCTGCTTTCCTGCAGTCCGTGTTCTTCTGACTTCTGACTATTTTGTAGTATGTAACGAATATGCTTCGGGGAAATGTATCGGAGTAAAAGTATACATTTTAATTAGGAAATGTAGTGAAGTAAAAGTTGGCAGAAATATAAAAACTCAAGTAAAGTACAGATACTCCCCAAAAATACTTAAGTACTGTAACGAAGTATTATTACTTCGTTACAATACACCACAGTTGAGGACACACCTTCTTACTTAACCCCGCCCCCTTCCCTCTGTCATATAAATACAGAGGTGGCACAAGGAGAGTTTAGAGCTTACATGCTTTTCTCAAAGGAAAGTCTTAGACAGAGTGGACCATATTTAATTCTTCTCATCAGTGCGATATTGCTTCTAAGGATTGATGGTCAGGACAAAAAGCTTTCTCAAGTGTCTCCCTTCTATGCAAGGTAAATTTTTGTAATATGTAATATTACTGTTTATATATTTATTGGGATTATTTTTATTAACTAAAAACCATACATATATTTAAATTACTTGAAATGTAATAAACAAGTAAAATAACTGAAATAAAATACAATATCTGAAAAACGTAAATGTATTTTATTTCACATAGTTGCTAAGGCATCGTTTCTCATATTATTAATTTTTTTTTCTGTTGAACACAAAATAAAATATTGTAAAGAATGAGGGTAACAAAACAGTTGATGGTAGCCATTGACTTCCATGGTATTTTTTTTCCATACTACGGAAGTCAATGGCTACCGCCAGCTGTTTGTGGTTACAAACATTCTTCAAAATATCTTCTTTTGTGTTCAACAGAAACAGGTCTGGAATAGCATGAGGGGAAATTGGCATTTTTTTGGGTGAACTATGCCTTAAAACTAAAAAAAATTTGCAAACAAAAACTAATAAAATGACAAAAACACACAACAAAATTACTAAAACTTGAACTAAATTAAAATAAACATTTAAAAATATAATCTAATTCAAAATATTAACAATACTATATCATGATACTGAAATCACACACACACACACAAGCCTATATATTATATCTATATACTTATATATTGACCTTAGACCTAATGTTTATATATAATACATTTAAATGTATTATAAATTGTGTGCAATTTACATCTCTAGGTCATACCATTATGGAAGTGGCTGTTTTGCTGTTGCTGACTATACCGATGAGCACAACCACACCAGTGAGACAGACACAGAGGTGTGTGCACTTTCAACACACACACACACACACACACCCATAGGCGTAATGGTTTTTATACTGTACAGACCATATTCTCTATTGCCCTACACCAAACCTACACCTAAACCTACCCCTTACAGGAAACTTTCTGATTTTCTAGATTTTCAAAAAACTTCATTCTGTGTGATTTATTAGCTTGTTTACCCGTGGGGACCTCAATTTAGGTCCCCACCGTGACATGAGTCCCCATGAGTCTGTGTGTATTCAGGTTTAAGTCCCCACCAGAATAGAAAAACAGGTACACACACACAGAGACACAGACACAGACACACACACACACACACACACACACACAGACACAGACACAGACAGACACACACACACACAAAGTATATTCACTGTCACATGTATTTTTAAACAGGACACAGACAGAAAGCCTCTCATTAGTGAAGAGCATACAGAGGTCAAGAGACGTGACCTTGATCGACACTGGCAGAGAGACTCCATCAGGGGAGACCAAAACCACCAGAAAACCAGATTTAAATGCAGCCTCTTCTCTGCTGCTACAAACCATCCTTCAAAAAGCCAGAGAGTAAGTGAGAGCTAAACATGAAAGAATATATACTACCGTTCAAACGTTCAGGGTCAGGCTGCATTTATTTGATCAGTAAAAACAGTCATATTGTGAAATATTATTACAATTTAAAATAACTGTTTTCTGTTTGAAAACATTTTAAAATATAATTTATTCCTGTGATCAAAGCTGAATTTTCAGCATCATTACTCCAGTCTTCAGTGTCACATGATCCTTCAGAAATTACTCTAATATGCTGATTTGCTGCTCAAGAAACATTTCTGATTATTATCAATGTTGAAAAGTTGCTAAATATTTTTATGGAAACCCCAATACAATAGTTTTTTTCAGGATTCTGATGAACCGAAGGTTTAAAAGAACAGCATTTATTATTTGAAGTAGAAATATTTTGTAAATGTCTCTTATAAATGTTTTCTTCTGTCACTTTTTATACATTTAATGCATCGTTGCTGAATAAAAGAATGTTGTTCTTACGAATATGTTCTTTCAAACCAAAAACTTTTGAATGGTAGTATACATATATATAAATATAAACATATATATATTTTGTGTTGATTTCTTGGGATTTAAGTTAATATCAAATATGAATTACACACATGGATTCACATTTGTCTTGTCTCTCTGCAGAAGGCGAGCAGCTCAAAGAGGTTGTCAGTTTGGGACATGTCAAGTACACAACCTGGCGAGCAAGTTATACCGAATGGGTCAGAGCAACGGAAAAGACGAATCCAAAAAGGCAAATGACCCAACAGGATATGGACGCTAAGAATACACATCACAGATGAGCTTCTGCTCATTCTTCAGAGAACAGAATGTATTTGACTGGTACTGCTCAGGATGTTTCTATATAAAAAAAGAGTTCAAATAAGTTAACTATTTGTATATTGTATTAACTAATTAACTAAGATATTGCATGTCTTTGATAGACTTTGTTTAGGCTGCTCTTATTGTATAAAGGTTATATGTATTCTATTTAAAAATGTACATAAAGTTGACAAAAGTATAATGAATAAATAACATTTATGGTCTGCAGTTTGTGTTGTCCAACAATATAACATAGTTATTTTGCTCTTGTGAATATAGAGGATATCATGGGGCTTTAAAAGATTTTGGATGCGATTAATCGCGATTAATCGTTTGACAGCACTTATATATATATATATATATTTGGTACTCAAAATATTTGGCATATTTTAATAATATTTCAGTATAAATTAAAAATAAAGAATGAAATCGTTATGATTAAAAATAAAATTTACAAAGTGATGAGGGGGACATTTTAGGGGAAACATTTTAGGGCAAAAATGGTGTTGCTGAGCCTCCATCCCAGCCCTAATTTTAATTAAATATTTATTTTATTTGTTAAATAATTAAATCTAAAATCACACAGGTATATAATGTATTTCTTAAATATTATATATATCTTTTAATAATAAAATATAAAAAAACACAAGATAAAAAATTACGTTGTACACTAAATCATGAATCAATATAGTGAGCAACAAGCAATGAGATAATCAGATAACTAACAAGGAATTTTGTTGACTGTGATTTTTAAAAACAACCTACCCAGACAAATCCTTTGTGTAACGTACAATGAACCGTCTTTTTTCCTCCACTCACGTGCCTCTCCTCAGTAACCACACCCTGCGCTGGTTACACCTGATTTCTCAGGTAGCCTACACCGAGAGTCTCGAGCTTTCCCGCACTTCGTTCGCGGGTGTCATGGACATCACGCGCTGCAGCAGCAGAGCGCTCTGAGGTGAAACTCACGACAAACAGCGACTTCATAAAGTCCATGAACAAGGCAAGATGACGTACAATGAACCGTCTTTTTTCCTCCACTCACGTGCCTCTCCTCAGTAACCACACCCTGCGCTGGTTACACCTGATTTCTCAGGTAGCCTACACCGAGAGTCTCGAGCTTTCCCGCACTTCGTTCGCGGGTGTCATGGACATCACGTGCTGCTGCAGCAGCAGAGCGCTCTGAGGTGAAACTCACGACATACAGCGACTTCATAAAGTCCATGAACAAGGCAAGATGAATGAAAAGGAAGTTGAGGAAGGTGCAGTGGCCCTGATGCCAAAACAAGATCTGGTAGGTCTGTCAGAAAACGGCTTACCGCACCTGTAGCTACAACTGAAGCACTTCTTTGCCTTGATTTTGTGTTGACAAGGATGCTCCGGCCGTTTAATGGTAATTTCTTATGTTATTAATAATGCAAAGAAAGACTGCTTGCAATTCGGTATCGTTTCGATTTAATGTTGGCAATGAGCAGGACTGCAGGGAGTTTCTCTAAAACAACATACCATGGGTTATTACAAGACTGCAGGTGTGTTTGGCATGTGCTTCTTCATCATTGGTCATATTTTTACCAACTACAGTGTAGGCTACATGTTACAGCGCAGTTACATTTGTTGTACTTTGTAAATGTATTATAAGTGTTTAAAATATATTATGATTTTGTGGTGGTCTTTGTTTTAAAGGGAGCATATTAAAACCCCTAGTTTACATGTACAGTAAAATATATTTTTGTTTTCAGATTTCCATCTGTTGTTTATATATAAAGTGACTTACAAGCTTTAAAAAATGATGACATAAACAGGGTAAAACATTAATTTTCAATTTTATGGATTTTAAATTCCATGTTCTACTAAAGTAATTAAATTCTAATCAATGTATTCAATTTTAGTAGGTTGAATTTTACAGTATACACAAAGACACACACACGTTGGTTTTTATGGTTTACAGGGACTCTCCATAGGCATAATGGTATTTTCTATCACCCTACAACGAAATCTACCCCTCACAGGAAAATTTGTGCATTTTTAGATTTTCAAAAAAACTCATTGTGTATGATTTGTAAGCCTTTTTAATTACGGGGACACCAAAAGCGTCCTCATAAATCGGCTTCATGTTGGAATACCTATGTCATACCCATGTCATTATACAAATTTGTGTCCTCATAAACCACAAAAACAAGCGCACCCACATCATTTCATTCAAAGTTGCATTCATTAAATAATTAATTCTCAGAAGATGTACCTTGAACAGTTTCAAGTTCTTATCCCATTTCTCCAAAAAGAATTACCCCATATTCCTCTGAAGAATATTAGTAGTTATTTGTACTGTGCATGAATAAAGTTTGTGCTTTAATGTTTCAGTGTTCCAGACAAACACTGCAGGGACACCAAACACAGAGTTCTTATAGTCTAAATAAGTGATGAGGTTCTATAAAGGGTAAACAGGTCTGGCTTGCTTTCTTGATGAAAGGAGTGGGTGGGGACCTAATGATGAAATTACAAGTGGAGTCAGATGATAACACATTAAATTAAGTTTTCATTCGTTAACTATTAGGCTATTAGTTTGCATGAACTCACAATGAACAATGCTTCTTTATCTTTTCACCTCAAGTATGAATATTTCACCCAAAGGTCACCCACAAATAAATACTCGCTGAAAATTGACTCTCTCTGAGGCCAGCTAAAATGTAGATGAGTTTGTTTTTTCATCGAAACAGATTTGGAGAAATGTAGCATAGCATTCCATCACTTGCTCACCAATGGATCCTCCGAAGTGAATGGGTGCCGTCAGAATGAGAGTCCAAACAGCTAATAAAAACATCACAATAATCCACACAACTCCTGTACATCAATTAACGTCTTCTGAAGGGAAAAGATGCATGTTTCTAAGAAACACTTGTGGATTATTGTGATGTTTTTATCAGCTGTTTGGACTCTCATTCTGACGGCACCCATTCACTGCAGAGCATCCACTGGTGAGCAAGTGAAGCAATGCTACATTTCTGATGAAGAAACAAACTCATCTATATCTTGGATGGCCTG